TTAATTTCAATTTCCAGACTACAGAATTGGGGCTTCCAAATATATTGCAAGAAGAGTTATAGAATTCTAGAATATTAAGATTTGCAAGGGGACTTGGATATAATCAAATCAAACTTCTAATTCAGTAGCAGAATACATTGACCAAACTCCCATCTTGGAATCACCCTGTAATTCTCTAATACTTTCAGTGACAATGCACTAACTCTCAGAACCATCTATTCCAATTTTTAAAAACTCTGATTCTTTGAAAGTTCTTGAATTTTATTGTACCAAAACTGGTTTGCTTCCCAGTAACTTGTACCCAGGTCCTGATTCAACCGATTACCATCATACAAAATAACTAATTCTTCTTTTATGTTTCAGCCCTTCAGCTATCTGAAAATATTTACATCACTACTAACTAATGATTATACAACATGGTTTTCACCATCTGGCCATCTTCTGAGATAAGGATATTTTAGCAGTTGTCTAACTAATGTCCACCATGGTGGGAATAGCTTCTATAACTGCAGGGAGGCAGTATTAACATTCTAGACTAATCAAGATCCTAAACAGCTCAAGATCTCATTTCGATGTCAAATGAACTGCTGTTAAACAAATCTCTCCTTTCCTGGACTTTTGGAGTTAGCCTACAAAGTCTAAACACAAGGCTTTACATTTATGCCTGTTGAACTTGGCTCAACACTTTTAGTCTCTCATTCCAAAGATTTGCTAATTAGCAATTAAGTAACAGTCCCCATCAGCTTGACTGCCTCTTGCAAGTTATGAGTAATTACTCCTTTGCACTAAAGAAGAAAATAATGTGGCTGGGCACGGTGGTTCACACCTGTAATCCCAGCACTTTGGGAGGCCAAGGTGGGCGCATCACGAGGTCAGGAGATTGAGACCACCCTGGCTAACATGGTGAAACCCCATCTCTACTAAAAATACAAAAAAAATTAGCCAGGCTTGGTGGCACGTGCCTGTAGTCCCAGCAACTCCAGAGGCTGAGACAAGAGAATCTCATGAACCTGGGAGGCAGAGGTTGCAGTGAGCCAAGATCATACCACATTACTCCAGACTGGGCGACGGAGCAAGACTACGTCTCAAAAAAAAAAAAAGAAAGAAATGAAAATAATGTCTTCCTTGGTGCTGAGCTGTGTTCTGGATGGCTGGGGTTTCTGGATAACCCCTCTGTCTCAGCAATTGGTTTCTGTTTGTTAATGTAGAGGTAAGATTGGGTATGGAATCCTTCTCTACCTTGATTATTCCGATAAGTGAATAGCATGGCCCTCTAAGTTGGGAATACTTTCAGCGCTACCTCATGGTTCACCCTTGAGCTAGTACCAAAATTCCAGAGTGCACAGATGCCAGAAGAGTATTTTGCTAACACCTCTCCATCCAACTGGAAGAATAAGAGAATATAATGATATGGTCTTCTAAAACTACTAAATTATAGGACTGATAGAACTGGAAGGGAGCTTAGGAATACCCCATTTTATAGGAAAGGACACTGAGGCCCTGGAAAAAAGTGATGACTTGCCAGGTATCACATGGATAATGCACTTGCTACTCAGTGGAGACAGACTTACCTCTTTAATAGCTGTGAAATAATAACAATAGCTAACATTTTCTAAACACCTTTTAAGCTAGGTGTTTAAAAGTACTGTGCTCAGTACTATGACTTAAGTACAGATCTAATCTCTAAGATTCAAAATATGCATATAGGTTGTAAAAAATTTTACATAGTAAATGGTTTACAGCTCACCCTTCCCCTAATTCCCTACTATAAGAGGATTTGGGTTCTAAATCCTAGGGGGTTAGGGACAGGCCCTGAAACCAGTTTAAACTGGATGTGTATGCAAATCATTACAACAAGCACTCAGGAGGTTGGCTTCAGCTCACAGAGCAGGACATTTAAGACTGGCCTACAGTCTCACTGCCAAGCAGTTTGAGGCCAGGAAGATGCCAAACTCTGCCACACGCTGTGTGATCAAGGGCAAGTCACTTAATCTCTTTGAACCACAACCTCCATACCTGCAAAACAGAGCAGATCATCTGCCCTGACAACACACAGTAGGGAGAGAGAGACGTCTCATGAGACGACAGATGTGGAAGCAATTTGTAGACTTTAAAGGTCTATTGTTAGTGTTTCTTGTTACTTTTATAATGTCTCCCAGCCTTAGACTTTTACCAGCAAACGTGTGTGAAAGTACAGCATTTAAGAGGAAACCCAGAGGCAGAGACATTCCAACGAACTCACACCAAACACCTTCTGAGAAAGTCCAGGAAGCTGGTGTCATAGGTTTTCAGCACCATCATGAGGTCCTTGGAGTCTGGGTATCTTTTCTTCCCCCTGTTGTTGGTTATACTTTTAGGCAAGCCTTTGGAATCTGCAGAAATACAACATTCTGTATTTAGTTCCAGGCGTAAATGTTTAGTGGTCACATCATGCTGCTGCTTAGAGTGGCCTCCGTGGCTGTTTCGCTCTTGGTCTTACACACTCGCCTCATGCCACCCCCCACTAAACATACACACAAGCACACCCACAGTCTCAGTTTGAAATAACCACGTGTAGATTATCCAAGGAATACAACTAACTTTAAAAATTTATTTTTTCCTACTATTCAGTATGTTCTGAGCTTCCTTCTACTACCTCCTCTCCAAATCAAATAGTTTAAATGGTTTAGCACTAGCCAGGATAAGATAACACTAATGATGACAATCACAATAGTGAAGTAAATCTTCAGGGGCAAGGTCCTGTGAAATTGTACAAATATCCATTTCCTTTTGAATCGTGGCCTTAGCCCACCCACTTTATCCTACGTTGCCCTTTTTATGAATGACCAAAGAAGAATCAAGCTCACAGTCTTACAAATAACGAAGCCCCTAAAGTCATGGTCATGTAATCGTTTTCCTGTGTAAACTTTTCTCATTCTAGCCCTCATCCATGATTCCCTCCATCCCCTTCTTACGGCCTGGGCCACCTAAGTATAATATCTTACCAGGCTTAAGACAACACCATTTTGCTGCTAATTAGGGGTTTTAACCAGGAGGCGTCAGGGGCTGCGGAGCTGTTGGGAGCCCAAACCTGGGAAAGGGGGAGTCAACAAGTGAAGGGGACAACAGTGTTTCCCAGACTCCTCTTGTCACAAGGAGCTGTTATTAAAAATATTAAATCCTGGGTCCCATCTCAATCTTCCCACAGCATACCTTATAGAAGAGAATCACAGGAATTAGCTTTTTTAGCAAGCTCCCCAAATGATTCCTGCATTTGGATAAAGTTTGGAAAACACTGACGAGGATGCATTTTTCTCAGCAACATTCCTTCTTTTGCAGGAAGCGAAGATATGGATGTTGCTGCAAAAATCCCACCACCATCCTAAAGCCTAGTGCTGATGGTAGAAATAAGCAGCTCTACAAAGTGGACATGCCTATGTCTTCAGTGCCTTCCCATGAAGGTGCTCTACGCTCCCTTCCTGCTAGTCCCCATCTAGATGCTATCTCATAGTTCAGTGTTACAGGCTCAAGATGTGTCTTCCCACAGTGACTCTGTCCAGTCCAAGAGCCTGAATTATTAAGTTGTGGGTAGAAAAAGTATATTTGGGATCCACAGACTAGTTCCCTTGCTCCATGTGTAAGTTAGGGAGCCAGACAGAACCCCTCTGCCCACCACCAGATTGCTCGGTTAATGCGTGGGCACCATTCTGTGGCAACCAGGACACTGCCCTGCTCAGAAGCAATGTCTCCAAAGCTCCAGCCATGATTACAAGGCGATGTTTAAAAGAGTTAACAATTGGAATGAATGGCATGGGACCAACTAATCAGAATGAAGACAGCCATGGCCCTGGAATAGGATCACAGAGCACCTCCACTTGCTTGGCCTTCAACTTTGAGTTTTTTGGATCATAGGGAGTCTAAGGAGTCCTGGGAGAGGACCAGGGAACCTGCAGCTGTGGCAGGGCTCAGGGCTGTGGCTTTTTACCAAAAGGTACAGAAATAGGCAAATTACAACCCCTACATGGCTGAATCAGTGCATCCTCACCAGCGTGACTCAATCCCTTTTGTCCATGAGGATGTTTTGGACCTTCCTACTGATGGGGCAAGTTGTGAACAGAAGTTGTGTGATTTGCATACACATTCAGAGGCTGCTCACAGTTGAAAATCAGAGGTGGGAGGACCAGGAATGTCTGAGATTGCATAGTCAGAGGGAGTCCATGAACCGACCTGACAATTGCTGGTTAGAAATGCCACTCCAGGTAGCATGGAGTCGCGTCTGTGGAGTTCCGTTTTGCTCATATCTAGCTTTGCTCCACTTTGCTGACCTTCAGGCTACTTTGGCTGTTTCTATCTGGGACTCTTAGCTTCCAGTGGTTCTTTAAAGGGATTTTAGGTTTCGGACTTGCTGCAACTTTTTGGTGCATGTGCCTGGAAAGCGCTGCCTCAGTTAGTACCTTGCTGAGCCATCCTGCCACCTTGTATATCACCGCTTAAATAGGAAGGCAGTGGATCACAAAAATCCAGATTCTGGGAATCAGGAGGAGAGGGCCAGCCTGGGCTGTGGACAAAGTTTACTCCCTACAATCAGGCAAATGACATACATATAACTCCCAGCCACAACTCATCAAAGCAAAACTACTCTGATAGTCCTTGCTTAACCGTTGCAATGAACCTGGCACAGTGAGGATCTGGAGGATAAGAAGACTTTTAGCAGGGGAGACAGTAATGCAGCAATGGAATTTTCCACTATTCTTGAAATGAAGCTTCTGCTCTTTGATTTCCCTGCACAGTCCAGTGTGAGAGGACAAGTTGCTTGGGAGAGTGGGGAGAACTTCCAGGAGAGGATGCAGTTACAGTATTTTGAGGCTGTAATACTTGCTGATAGCTCTTCTCAACAGGGGTCTGGCCATCCTCTTTCTTCTGAACATTTTTACTGTCAAGACCCCATTCCCATTGCGGCTGCCCCATCCCATCTCCATCATGCTATCTGGTTCCACTGTTCATTATCTTTTACTTCTGTGAAAGAAGCTCTTAATCACAGCCCCCACTTTGCTATGGCCAGGGGAAAAGAACGAAATGAGCTTCAAGGTATGGCAGGTGTCTTCGAGGCCTGCAACACTTCATTAGACACAATAAGGAAAAGAGAGTTAGACCTGAGGACTCACCGAAGAACGTCTGTCTCCTGGAGGCCGTCTGAATGAAGCGGGCTGGCGGCAAGCCCAGCACCTTAATAAGGACAATTCAATTGATTCACTCTTTGTGGGATCAGAGATTCAAAGACCGAGGGGCAGGGCATACTTTGGCCAGGCTTTGCCTTCTACATATAAGGATTTAATGTATTAATAACATCGCGTCAGTAGCAGAGCAAACCCAGAGCCTGGGCCTTTTAACTCCTAATCCGGAGCTGGTTTCATATGCTAAGAATCAACACTGTCCATGTTATTCTAAACAGACATCAGCACCAACTAGAGGTGGGCCACCACCTTGATAGCAGCCGGATGTCCTTGCCAGAGCAAATAAACTGGTATACATGCTGCCATGTCTGAATTAAAGAGTGACATATCCCAGCATGGAGCACTGGAAAGGGAGGAGAAGAAAAGAAAATGAAAATCACCAGATGAGCATCAGACAATTACAAGACAAACACCTTCTTGAAAGGAAAAGTGTAGCACCTACTTGTTCCTCTTCTCCTACTGCAACTTAGAGGGGTGCACAGAGATAAGGAAATTACAGTGTGGGTCACCTCCCTTGCTGCTCAGTTCCCAACCATAATCCATGCATGATCCTGCTCTTCTGTTCCTCAGCCCCTTTGACCCTGAGGTCAAGCGGAAGCTGAGTCAGTTCTGGGGTTGTAGGAACGTTGAAACATAGCCCCGAGCTCTTTGGCATTGGAAGCAGCAGTGGTCTGGGGATGCTTCATTCATTACCGACCTTAGAAGCCATCTACCCGCTCCCCTCATTTTATAGTCCAGAGCCGGGAAGTGACTGGTGAAAAAGACGGAGCCAGGGCGAGACCCCGGGTTTACTGACCCACAGGCCAGTGTTCATTCCACCACAGCTGCTTTACCTAAATTATTTTAATATTCTATTATTCGTTTCAATCATGACATGAAATTCTCTATGTTTACTCATTCTCAAGGCTCTATGTGTTTCTCTCTCTGTAACTTTGAGACAATCTGGAAAATAGAAATTTGGCAAAGATAGACAGATAGACACACACCTTGGTGTTTGCACCCAAAAGATCTTTGTTCACTGGGAAAATCCTAAAATGTAAAATTTTAAACTTTTAAGGTTATTTTTCTATTTTGTCTAATTTAGCTCCATAACAAGGTGGCTTTCAAGTGAAAGCATAATAGATATAATTCATAATCATATCATGAGTTTTGGTAAAGCCTTGCTATTGGGAGATAGTTTTCCCAGAAAACTCATTTCCCGTTATGAATGACTCATGCCTGAACAATACACATATTTTGAAGTCAAATAATTTCCAATTCTTTGTTTTTAACATTTTAATCAGGTTGTCAGCTGACAGGATGGTAAACATAACTTTAGATGACAGATCACCATTTGATTTTTACATAGAACTCAAAAGGAGTCACCAAATTAGACGGCCTTAACTAGAACAGGCTTCCTCTCTGGGTTCACATCTGCACCACCAAGCAATTAGAATCACATTGATCCTGCGCCCGGGCATTCTAGTAAGAAGCATCATTCACCTCTGGGTATAAGCATTAATTGGAAAAAGAAAACCCAGCTCTCTTCATTTTTCTAAGAGCTGCATGCTCAATAAAATTTCACATTTTATTTTTGATAATTATCAAAATTTGCACACCAGATATATTTTAATGGTAACTTACCAGAAAAAAATTTTTACACATGAAGCTTATGGAATCAGGAAATTTTTAAAGCTATAAAGATTGATAAAAGTTTCTAGGCCAGGTGCAGTGGCTCACACCTGTAATCCCAGCACTTTGGGAGGCCGAGGCGGATGGATCACAAGTTCAAGAGATTGAGGCCATCCTGGCCAACATGGTGAAACCCCATCTCTACTAAGAACACAAAAATTAGCTGGGCATGGTGGTGCATGCCTGTAATCCCAGCTACTCAGGAGGCTGAGGCAGGAGAATCACTTGAAACCAGGAGGCAGAGGTTGCAGGGAGCGAGATGATGCCACTGCACTCCAGCCTGGGCGACAGATCGAGACTCTATCTCAAAAAGAAAGTTTCTAAACATAAGCATATATTAAATTAGAATAAAATTCCATAGAGGAAGTAGAGAGAAGAGTAAAAACAAAAAGCAAAAAATAACGAAGTAAAATAAATGTACGACTCTTAAGAACTTGTTCACATACTTTCAGATAGATTTTAATGGGCGCCATGTCACTCTGGTTTTGTATTCTTTTGGATATTTCTGAAAGGGTGGTGTAACACTTTTATTTTAAAATGTCACTATTTACAATATGATGGAAACGACATCCTCTGCAACTATTTAAATTTAAGATAAAAATGTTAGATGTCAGCTTGACAATGTACAAGGGGGCACACAATTTCAAAACTACTTTTAGGGAACATCCAACCAAAGGAAAAAGAAGAGTAGGTAGGCCATGGTCCTGGGCAAGTCTCATGTAGCCCCGTGTTTGAGATCCAAGCCCACAGCCTCCGTGGGAGCCGCCCTCCAGCCAGCCCTCCCCGTACCTCCATGATGCAGGCCAGCTGCTCCACCTCATTCTCCCCAGGGAACAGGGGGTAGCCCGTGTACAACTCTGCCATGATGCAGCCCAGGCTCCACATGTCAATGGCCATGTCGTAGGGGTGGCCCAGGATCACCTCTGGGGATCGGTAGAACCGGCTTTGGATATACGTGTATTCTGCGGAGGCAAAGCGAGAGAAACCTCGTGGGAAAACTTCTCTCTTCAGAACACTCTCCTCCAGGGCACCTTCTCGGTTAAACTGCGCCCCCGCTGGCAGGGAAAGGGAAGTCCAGCCGGCCAGCACCTGGAAGTCTCGTTACACGAACAGCATCAAATCCGCCCAGTCACCTGATTACAAAGGAGGTGTTACTGTCCTTGCTTTGTAGGTAACGAGCTCCAGCGTGGGCTTTGTTGTAGGAAAGTGAATGTAAGTTAGCCAAGTTTATAACAAACAAACAAAACATACGACAAATATAAGACTAAGTTTTCAAAACTGTCAGCTTAATTTGGGGTAGACAGCTTCTGAGTCTTGTGGCTTGGCAATGGAAGAAGCATATCAAGTTGGACAGGAAGCATGGGAAGTGTGTATTCAATATAGTATGTGCACTTATTGTATGGAAAGAAAATCGCAACAGATGAGGATGAATGGACTGAAGCTGAAGAAATGGAACACGGTAGTTATTTCCACATAACTGGGATTGCTGGTTACCTGGGGAGGTGCAGGGATTCTGTAATCGCTTCTCTGTTGTTTACATTGGCTATTGTCAGAAGATAATAATTCTGTGATTTAAAACAAAATAAAGATTTAATAAAAATAATTTTTATATTTTGCCTGCTTCCCAAATGGATCTGTGGTACTTTGCAAAGCACATATGCACAGAGTATTTTAGAACATGGATTTAATGGTATTTACATAATGTTTAGTATGTGCCAGGCACGATTCCAAGTGCTTTTATAGATAGGCCCTTTCAACTTTTACATAAATTCTATGAAGCAAGTAGTATTATTGCCTCCAATTTAAATGTGAGAAAACTGAGGCATACAGAGGTGAAAATGTCAACGTTACTGAGCTATTAGTGACAGAGCTGGGATTCAGGAGTAGGCAGTCCAATTCTAGTGTCAATACTAGATACTGCCTCACAGTTAAAAAGGAAGTCAGAAAATATGCAAAGGGGGAAATGACTGTTAGGAACCAAGGATGAAATAATTACAAACTCAGTTCTGAGCATTGCGGCAGCCAAGATAAATGACAACTGATAAGTTACGGCCTTCAACATCTGAGAAGGGCAAACATATAAGTTCTTTGTGGAAAGCATTATTTTTTAGCTGGAATTTCTTATAGGATTCATACATGAAAGGTATGAATGACATATGTCCTCAAAAATTGATCTGCCAGAGAAAGGCCCAGATAGAGGACGCAGAGGCATGCTGTTGCCATGGCAGTGTGGTCCTGGCTGCCACGGAGGCAGGTGCCAGGGTCTCCCTTGCCTCAATGTGAAGAACTTAGAAAGAGGAGGAGCGGAGAACTCCCCTGGCCATCTCTGTGGCCCCAGCCGGCGCATTTTACACAGGCAGGAGGGATGTGGAGGGAGAGAAGGGAAGGGTGATGCGGAGATATTAATGGTGGAAGAGAAGAAAATGAATGAAAATAAAGATACTGATTCAAAAGAAATTGAAGAATATGAAGATGACTTTGAAAAGAACCTGGAGTGGATAATTAGTGAAAATGAAAAAAGTGCTGCCAGCCTAAGAGAGATGACTTGTTTGAAGGAGGAGAATATTAATCAAGACTTAAAAGAGAATGAAACAGTAACAGAACACACCAAACAGCCTTCTGATCCTGACAAATCATTGCAGGATGAGGTCTCGCCAAGAAGGAATGTCTTCATTTCTGTACCAAGTATCCCATATCACATTGAAATAGTGAAAACTCTTTCCAGGAATCCAAACTAGAAAGCCAGAAAGACTTGGAGAAGGAAGAGGATGAGGAAGTAAGGAGATATATTATTAAGAAAATTGTACAAGCTAACAAGCTTCTACAGAATCAAGAACGCTTGAATGATGAAAGCAAGTGAAAACTTAAGTTCAAGGACAAGTCAGTTGATCTGAAAGTTCCTCCACTAGAAGACGCTAATTAATACTTATAAAAATTATTCTGAAAATGAAAAGCATATGCTTGGGAAACTGTCACAGTTACGTACTTCCAACGATTTTGGACAAGAAAATGTGCTCCTGTCATTTACTAACGGAAGCTGTGAAATAAGCAAGGATGGGACAACACTGAGAGAGAGAGATGGAAAATTTGAACTTCTGAATTTACAAGACATTGAGAGTCAGGAGTTTTTACCTCCATTAATAATGCAAACAGTACAGAAAATGACCCTCAGC